ACTGTATGTTTATATATGAACGTTAATTAATTTATTAATAGTCTTCTCAGCCACCTGAGCAACGAGTTTTCCTCGACCCAACACGATCATCCGCAACACATACGCATATATTGTACACGACGATACACGCTCGCTCGCTGATGATTGCGTAAGTTTGGCATTTGCGACACCTGTAAAGATGATTATCGACGAGGGACACGGTCGACCATTACCGGCCACATCGACGTCGGCTCATATTGCTGCCCGGCGGATTGTTCTTCTTATTGTACCTTACGATTATAAAAATGGTAATAAAATCATGTTATGTATAATTATACATTTTAAACTATACGAGTGATTCCTATATCAACAATTGTCTTTTCGTGATAACTTTGCACATATACGTGCCCTGCTTGTGACTTTAAAGTCACCAGCTTCGTGCGATCCCTAGAATGCAGCGAAGTTTTATTCAGCACGAACAATTATCCGTGCTGTCTCGAATCTATAATTAATGACATTCTTGAAGATACGAATTGCACCTAAATATCCTGAATATAAACTAGATATTGATATTTGTATATTCGGGGTAATTAATGCACGAATTGTAATGACTTGCAAATCTAATTCTATTAAATGATATAATTCGTATTATGAGAATCTTGCATGAGATCTTAAAAAGATTTGTATTTATTATTTATAGATTCTCGAGTCTATTTTAAAGCAAGTAACATAGAAAATTAGTTCGTTTCAGAGATGCTATATTCTGCCTGTGCCTTTTTTCTAAATCTAAACAAGATAATATTAAACATTATATTAAACTTTGTAAGATCGTAATATTATGTTTAATATTATGATCTTTGTAAGATCATAATATTAAGCATTATGATCTTTGTGAGTACAAGGTATAATTAAAACAGATGAATTCACGGGTTCAACGGCAGAATATTTCTCCAGGAAATGCTACAAAGAGAAACAAATATACAGGTCTAATCGTCGCCTTCGGGGTCACGTTAGGCCATAAACGGCCAACGGCCGTATATCTCGAGCGGCTGCTTCAGCACGTTCGTTATATTTGGCGCGTGCCATGTGCCAACCACGTGGCGTTGCCACCCCGGGATACAATCGGGAGAAGGCATGCACGTAGCTCAATAGGAGCGAACGAAAGCGTACGCGCGCGTTACAGATTAAGAAATAGCAAAAATAGAGCCGCTACCCGTAGAATCAGCGTCCCGGTCGGCCGTTCTCATCTGAAATCTCTCGCGTCTCGAGCGCTAAAATTAGCGACAATTCGTGGGAAGGATGCCTTTCGAAGAATACGGCGCTCTTTAGAACATTGGACCCGCATCGATCTTTGCAGTCTTTGGACCTCTGATGTCTCGGATGCCTCCGGGATGAGTTCCTCGACGAGGCATCCATCTGCAATTCTTTTTGACGCTTTCTGCAAACGAAATGGACGTAGAGCTAACTCGAGCATATTGAGTGAGAAAAGTGAGGGATTTCAATGAAATACTTACTCTTATTAATTAATTATCAATCAATTTATTTAGTTTATTTCAATTAGTCCAAGCTGCCCGACGTCGAAGTCGCTAGTCGCAGTCGCTTCGAAACTTGTGGACGGCGTGGACGCGATTGCGCGCGCAACGATGGCGACGTAATGAACGGAGTACACACATACATACGAACGGGTTGTGCATGATGTAAGAAGACCATATAGATAGGTCTATGAAGAAGACAGATGGAGCATTGCGGATAATGGCGGCCGAAGAATACGACAGCCAATCAAATGTTGGTCCGAAACATCGCGCCACATTCAAATGTAGCATTATTAGCCATATGTAGCCGGCTATAGAAACGTGCCGGTGACGTGACGTATGCGCGTAATGACACGGGGCGGAACAGCTGATCCACGGCATCCACGCGCCTCGAGACAGTCGAGACTCGAGACCGCGGCAGGACGTCCCGTCGTCGAAGCGGTATCCTAATACACGGCGATCGTCGCCGACGTCGGTGGTTTGACGGGGGCGAGAAGAGAGACGAGGACGACGAGGCGGAGTGCCGGGGTGCGTTCGGCTCGCGCGAATTAACTCCCTCTCCCTTCCCTTCTTCCTCCGCCGTCGCGACGTCCTTGGACGGCGCACAGTCGTCTATAGTCCGGGATTATGGCCAGTCCGGTGGTCGGCACCGGATACAATTTCAAGGTGGTTCTGCTCGGCGAGGGATGCGTCGGCAAGACTTCGGTCGCCCTGCGATACGTCGAGGACAAGTTCAACGACAAGCATATCAGCACGCTACAGGTGACTTTCCCAGTTCCCTCCTCGACTTCTGCGTCGTCCTGGCGAGAACGGCGAACCGACGTTGCTCCACGGATTTTTCCTCCGTTTTTGTTTTCAGTACACCGTGAATGGTCTTTGCTCCCGTAAAATTTTTTTTCGGGTTTTTTTTTCTTGATCCAGGTTCGAATGTGTATATTTTCGAAAGAGAAAAAATTATTTTGCGGTATTTCTTCCGGTGACGCACGGTTCTTTTAGATCCGAGCTCGGTAATGCGTAAAAAGGAAGTCGTATATGTTAAGATTAAAGTGTAATTCGCGGCGTATATAACTGCGGTCAAGAAAGCTTTCTTAACCTCTTCGACGTTGAACCTTTTATTTATCTACGATACGATCGGGATTTACCTCGCTTGAAAACGCATTTCGACAATTGGCTTTATTATACGTTTTAGGCGTCGTTCCTGAATAAGAAGCTGAACATCAACGGGAAAAGAGTGAACTTGGCGATATGGGACACCGCCGGGCAAGAAAAGTTTCACGCCTTAGGACCAATTTATTACAGAATGTCTAATGGGGCCATTCTCGTTTACGACATTACGGATGAGGATACCTTCCAAAAAGTACGACCTGCCATATAAGACAGTATTCCAGAGCATCTTTGTTTTCCTGATGTTAAATAATCTTTTATTGATTTTATTGTCAGGTGAAGAACTGGGTGAAGGAGCTTAAGAAGATGTTAGGTAGCGAAATTTGCTTAGCGATAGCGGGTAATAAAGTGGACCTGGAGAAGGACAGAAACGTTGCCATAGAGGAAGCAGAAGAGTAAGTTTGACGAATCTTCGCTTGCATGAAATTATAAACAAACGTAGTATAGTGATTTCGAACAAATCTTCCGTCAGGTATGCCAAACAAGTGGGCGCCATGCATTTCCATACATCGGCCAAGTTGAACCAGAATATCGAGGAGATGTTCCTGGACCTGACGCAGCGCATGATGCAACGCGCGGACGAGGCCGAGCAAAAGTCCACGCTCACGAGGACCAACAGTACGCGTCGCAATGTCGTGATGGTTGAGGACGAGGCAGAACAAGCTCAACCGACTAGAAGTTTCTGCTGCGGCAGTGGTGGTGGCGGAGGCGGTGGCGGTGGCGGCGGTAACGGCAGCTTTTCGTAAACCTTTAAAATAAATTTTAATTCGACTACAGATGAAAGGTCTAATTTCGATAATGTACGAACTATATACAGGATGGTGCATCTCAAATGTGACAAATTTGCCAATAGTAATTTGTTACATTACAAAATGCTTTATCCTGTATGTGTTTGTAGATGAGTGCGTTATGTATGAATGTGCATGTGTATGCCTATATATATATATATATATATATGTATATTTTTAGCTGTGACAATTCTTGGATAGCAAAGATATGTATATTTGTATACATATATGTTGGTGGTGGAAGCTGTGACTTTGTGCCCGACAGATAAATTTTTCGAAGACAAATTTTGCACATGCCACTTTGTTAAAGAGAGATAAATTGTTAATATTTTCGATGACGATTTTAGATGTGCACACACGTTATACAACTGTGGCCTTTTTATTGTCGTTCGTAAACATTGTGAGATAAGCTTTTCCTGACAGATTTGTCTTTCAAGTATTTTTGTCATCTTGAAGAGATCTGTCTTGTGGGGTTTTCGAAGTTTAGCTTCTCATTTAGTGCAATCACGAAGCAATACGTAATATCATCTTCTCTTCCCAATCGATCTTTATATTTGGTGTGCATTTTGATCATTATCATTCCAGGTAGTTTCTTAACTATGGCGCGAATGTAAAGTGTTGCTTGAATTATGCGATCATAATGAAAAAGAAAAAATAGTTTGGTATAGCGGCAAACCTTACTATCTAGCTGTCTCGAATGCCTCAATCTCGATGTAGTCGCATACATTTTATAAAAGAGCCAGAAAGTAGAAGCCTCGTCCTAAATTATTTAATTTTCCCATTGTCGTCTTCAAATTTTCGACTATATCTTCGCAATCCAAAAATTGCAGCAAGCTTATTAACTAAGGACTAACTAATTGCTAGACGACGCGGTCTTGTCGCGAGACGAGGGCATTTTCAAGGAAGAAAGACTTTCGGCTTTTATCCAAACGATAAGTTATTGTACATATTAAGTGCCGATAATTTTATTGTACAATATATTGATTTGGACCGTATATTAAGTAACACGCAATATGTTTATTCATCTGAAATTATATAAATTAGTGATACAAGAGAGTTGTTTAAATTATTGTTACTGTAAGTTATTTTATGAACATAAAATGGTAACTTGTAATAACGTTACAGAGAAACGCTTTATTTAACATTTCTACCTCGATCCCACCGTGTCACGAAAGTTAGGTTTTGCTTATGAATTATACACAAAAGTGAAATTGAAGACCTATAAATTAACACGCTTTATTACACGTTCTATTGACAACAACGAGGAATGTAATCGAGTCACATCAGTTCTATACAGGTCTGGGTTAGTCTTTTTATCTTTTGATGATAGAGAGCGGGTTTAGGGCTGCCAAGCCCATACTTTATCCCAGTTACCCATAATGGCAGGACTATTCAAGGGGATATACAAATCAGCGGTTTGCTCCGCGAAAAAATTGCTAAGTCTCTTTTATCCTTATACCTAGATGACGGACAGACTCACTAAGTCATTAGACTATACAATACTTGACATTCAATACGTGTCAAGTCTTTCCCTCTTTTTCATTCTCTCTCTCTCTCATTTCTTTTAATTCTTGCTGACATCAAGTGAATCTAACAATCAGACAAATTACTTTTTTTCGAGATCATAATTAAAAAAAAATAGCGTAAAGTTACTACAATTTATATGTGGGGTGCATGGAATATACTAATATCACACTAATCACTTACTGTGCTAATACATAATTTTTAAAATATTACATTAATCTTATAAACAGCATAAATTATTTTGATTTCTCGTAATTATATGAAACAGAGAGAGAGAAAATGTCACGAAAGCTACAAGATGAATCCGATTGAAGTAGAAAATACAATTTAATTTTTCTCAATCAGAGTGTTTTGTTACTTATATAAAATGAATGCTTGTTTATGTTATCTAAAGTTAACATAGTATTTCTCTATATTATATTTTATATATATATATATAAATCTTCCTTGTTACATATATCTTGTCTCTTTTCGAGTTTACTTAAATACAGTATCACATATACTACATTCGTTAGACCACAATTATTATTGAATTATCAATTTTTCCATTATATACAAACCCTGCAAGAGATGCAAAGGATGCCAAATATTTAAAAAATTTGTTATTTGCGGTTTTCTTATTTTAGATTTAGAGTATACACTAAAACATTCTATAAAAATTTCGTTTTACAGGATCTTTAATTAATAATATAATGCAATTTTGACAATTCCAATTTTACAAATGAAAATAAATAACAAAAGATGCTTGGTGGATCCATGTGGTCCCATCAAAACAAAAATTATAATCTATTCAATAACAATTATTGATTTAAAGTTTTTAACTGACAAGAGAAAATAACAAAATAAAAATAACTAAAATCTCTTAAAAATTATACATGAAATGATAATGCATGTAACTTGCTAAAAGAAATTAATTCGTTGTTTAAAAGTTTCGTTAAATATCAGAAATTAATTTAAACAAAAACCGGGACAAATTGCCGTTTGCGATTTCACGACAACGGAGGCATCCCGCTCGATATCTTCTTTCATCATCGAATATATTATTTTCTAAGCGTTATTAAATAGATAAACACATTATCTCTAGATAATCTTACATATTATACTCACTGTGTAACGTTCTCATGTATCTTTGGTATTTGGTCGTAATTTCTCTCTAAATATACGGACATGTTTCTTGTAGCTGGCATTCCAACATCACACAGCCAGCCAGATTCGAACGTTTTAGTCTTTCGTCCGAAAATTATTATACCTATTCGTATTAAAAAATCTTGTGCAAAATCGCATGTAAACAAACAATTGAATGTTTCCTTCTATCCTTTTCTTTTTCTCTATCACGTAGAATATAAAAATATTTCGGTAAATGAAGATGCGGACGTGTGAGAATTGAATGTTACAATTAGGCTTTCGGTGCTGTCGCTTTTAAATAATAAATATCTTATCTTGATAGGTAAATAAAAAATCTATGAATTGATTGATAGGTCCTATTGCGGAGAGGGACATTCCACGTGCTGGCGGTGCTCTAACTAGATTCGGTCCAAATACTACCGCGAGATTACTAGAAGTCATCTTGTTCAGGTCGCATCGATCCATTACCTATCAATAGAAAAAAAGAGTAAACATAAAAATCGATTTTATTTTAGTTGTAGGGAGTTGCGACTGGGAATATTAGTTACGTACCCTCGATAAAAATTGTACGATGTATTTAAGAACTTGGTAGTTGTCTTCAGGAAGTTTCTCCAATATTAATATTTTAACTTTACGCGGACGTTCATCTTTCGACAATGCTACAGTAAAAATTAAAAAAATGCTTTATGTACTCTTACTGTAATATTTAAAAAAAAAAAAGAGAAAAAGAAGGGAACAAAATACTCACTTTGAAATTGTGTGATTTCATCGTATAGTTCATAGGTCATAAGAGGTTCGTCTAGTTCACGGAGAAAGGTCTTGAGTAAAACCGCGGCGATATGCGGGTCCCCTTGAAAATCGATGGGTAAACCTTGATTGCAACGATTCTGAAGTTCTTTGATTACTGCCACGTTAGCCGATCTTCTGAATATTCCTTCTGTTTCTAGGGCTGAAACAATAACAAAACAATTGTCAGTTAGAATACGAGCAAGACGAAGATGGTTTTGCTTTTATTGGAATACCATACCGTCGGGCGTATCGAGAAATTCTACACACTGCCTTAGAATTGGTGGTATTGGATCGCCGTTACTATTTTCCTTTATGAATTGCAGACTAGCACCGAACTGAGTCGTGCCAACTGGCGTAACTACCGCGCTTTGCGGTGGACTCGCTGGCAAATTTTTCTTATTTTTCATCAACAGTTGTTCATTGTGTCTGGAAAAAAAAAAAAAAAAAAAAAAAAAATCCATGTGAATTAAATATGTGTGCAGTTTGACGAGACTCTATAAAGTACTATTTTACATAATAGCATAACTAAATTGCATACTCTATCACTTGAGGTGGTATAATTAGTTGATCCAGGTTAATATATTGCGCCAATTCTTCTAGATAATTAACATACATCATTTTCCGTCCAAATTTTACACTGTAAAAATATACAATTCATGTAATATGTAATAACTCGAGAAAAAAAGTAACTTCCTCATTTAAAGAAGGAAAGATTGTATACCTGATAGCCGGTTTAAATATTTGCCACACAATCCTAATGAAATTAGTCGGATGTACTAGATAAAGGGCTTTGAGATTCTTCTTGTATTTTCTATCAAACGCTTTATACGCTTGCCACAACCAAGATAAGGGTGGCTTATTTTTCGACGTAAGGCCATAATGAAAGTAAACGAGACTATAATCTTGCTCCACAAACATGTCCAAAGTATGCGTAAGATACCTGTAGTGAAAATATATTTCTTATGAAAAAGTTTATTTTAACTAATAAAAAGAAGATAAATAAAAAAAAAACCTAGTACCAGAAAACAGATAGTCTTAGCAAACTCTGTTAGACATAATACAGGATGACTCGCAGTCTTTAAGTAATTTACAGACAATTATAAGTCATTGTTTTGCGGAATAAATATTTCGCATGTTACCTCTACAACGTAGATATCGCAAACTCACCTGAGGAGTTTAGCGTGATTAAAAGTCTCTTTTCCAATGGGAGGCAATTTGCAAGCTGACACAACAATTATTTTACGACCGGCGCTATCGTCGCCGACCACTTCTACGATACCATGCCTGGATATGTCAAGATAATCCTCCTCGTCAGCGAGCTCTCCGTCTAAAGCAGCCAGATCGTCCGCTATTCATTAGAACAGACATTCGTTGTGATATAAGGTTGCACGTATCACAAGCGTGCTCTCGCAACAAACTTGTATCAAACACAGATTCTATCTAGCAAGAACAATTTGAATTCTCGGAGCAAAATTCTGTTTCATAAAAAAAAATGTATACTCCAAAGAAAAAGATTTACTCACTTCAAACGCTAAGATTGTACACAATGTTATTGTTACAAAACAGATTAAAAAAAAAAAGCAAAACAGTCATCGCATTCCCTTTCCTTTTTCATCCTTACGTCATGCAATGTAAAACAAGCTATACAATGTTCTACACATAATTCACCTGCTATGCCCCGAGAATGCCATGACATTTACTGGCTACTAACAGAAGGTAAAAGGTCACACACCAGATTCGATAACTGGAGCATCTACCAAAGCTTCCTCAAAGTTCTCCTCGATCGTGCCGTCGCTCACTGGGCTTTCCAAATAATCCATTCCGGTACCCATGGTGCTGCTCACCAAATCCAATTTTTCTTCCAGAAGCCGCGCCGCTGTAACAATAAAGTTAATTTTTAAACAATTATCATAGCTGCTTCATCATGTAAATTAATCTTTCATATAACTTTCATAACATGAAGAGGGCAAAATAAGAAGAAAATGAATTCTGCATCTACAGATAATTAATTGCATAAAAAGGAGATATCAAAATATATATCTGGAGGCATATAATTTACCGTTGTTTGAAGTAGTTTGCAATTCTGTATCGTCAAATTCCAGATTCGGTTCATAATCGTGATAATCTGACAGGCTGGGATACGGATCTTCACAGTCGTTGCCCATTCCTGTTAAACACGTCAACACGAATCAGTCTTGATATTAAATAAGCAGATCAAAACAATGATACCTGTACGTATTTGTACGCGCGAGAAAAAAATATCTTATCTCCAAAGATAAACCCGATTGACATTGCACCGCACGTACGTTCAACAACCATCTACTCGAACTACTCTACTCCAATACGGACGATCGAGCTCTCTGCTCCGTAAACCTTCGCGAAAGTAATGATAGCGCACGATGTCACGATAATGAGATGCTTTCTATTTACTCAACGCGAGCCGACTCCCTCGCTTCTGCTGTCGACTCGTGTCACCGCCTGCCAATGTCGCGAGTCGATCCCGACGACGACGACGGCTTCGCCGAGGGCGGCGAAAGAGTCGGAGAAGCGGGCGCGGACACGTCAAGCCGAACTCGTCTACGACGGTCGGGGGATCTGTCGGGGCATCGCCAGCTCACCTGTCAACGTCCGCGACGGACTGAGCGTCGGCTGGTAGTCCGCCTCCATCCTTCCCTTCCGGACCGTCGGCGTCGATGCGCGCGGGACCGGGGACGACGATGCGGCGGGCACACGACGGTGGGCACCGCGCGTTCGGCGATATCTCGGCGCGCTTCTTACAGACTGGGACTGCCTTCGACGGCTGTCTCCTCGCGCGGCGACATCATCCACTTCCCCGCGACGTGTGTGACTAGTACGACGCGCGCTACGGATCACGTCACGCTTTCATTTGTCGCCGTGGTGGTCACTGCGTTGCGCCGCGACGCGATATGTATCGATACTCCGTTTTGAACCGGGGATAACACGATATATCGATATCGCAGTATCGGAGTCCCTGCTTTTTAACAAAGAGGTTAAGTTCTCTTTAAATTAGGTTCTCCTATTTGCAATCTTATATTACTTATTTCATATAATTGAATTTGTCAATAATCCTCGCAGGAGGATACGTGACACACGGCGCGTTATTGTCGCTGATATTAACACCCGACTGTCAATCGACTGATGACTCAATTTAATTATTTCTCATTAGAATCTGCGGCCTTTCTATAGGATTACTTGTTCCTGAATGAGTAGTGCTATCACGTCTCGCGATATTGATTTATAGAATATTTATGTGCAAATATGTTGCCTTTACATATATTAACGAAGTAAGTACATTTGCATTAAATTATTAAAATTAATAAA